TGTTATTGGACAAACTCAAGTAGCGCAGAGATTTCAAGTCACCAATGGATGATGGGATGCTTCCAGTTAGAGCATTGCTTGACAAGTCCAAGTATTCAAGATTGGTCAAGCTACCAATCCACCGAGGGAACTCACCTGCCAACATATTCTTGGATAAACTGAAAAAGCTCATTGAACTCAGCCTCCGAAGAGATTCTGGCAGCACTCCACTAAAAAGATTGCGGCTTAAATCCAATCTATTCAAGTGCGGGCACAGTCCAATATCTCCAGGTAGTGGTCCGGAAAAGCGATTTCCCTGTAATTGGAGCTCTTTCAAAAAGTGAATGGCTGATACCCCTTGTGGCACGGACCCCGAAAACTCATTGTGTGAAAGATCCAATTTTCGAAGCCGCTTCAATGACCAAATCCCACTACTAAAATCTGGGTCACCGGAGAAATGGTTGTTGGACAGATTAATAGTGTTCAAGGAAGAGCAGCTCACTAGTGAACTCGGAATTGGCCCTTGAAGTAAATTCCCAGCTAAAGAAAGGTAACGGAGAGATTGAGAGTTTCGAAAAAGATTATCTGGGAGTGGTCCGGAGAATGAATTCTCAGAGAGATCAAGAAACTTGATGGAACTCATATTGTCAAGAAAAGATGGGATGAGGCCTGAAATACTGTTGTGACTAAGGTTAAGCCTTTCAAGATTTGACAAGAAACCAAGCTCATGACTAATGCCACCGCTAAAATTGTTTTGAGACAATGATAATGTCTTCAAATGCTGCAACTTTTGGAGCCCTTTACCTAACCTACCTGATAATCCCAAGCCATCAAGTGAGACTTGAGAGACTCTGCCGCTCACCGGATTGCATTCTATGAACTTCCATGAACATGGTGAGTCATCGTCTTCGTTCCATGAGCTGAGATAGGAAAATGGGTCGATAAGGTCTGCCTTGAAAACAATCAAGCCGAAGACATCATCATTCATCTGTATCGGTCCACTATCACTTCCCATGCAACCTTTAAGAGAAACAACTACAGAAACTAGCAAATATAACAACAAATGAGAGTAACCCATCACTAGTGGGGTAGCCATTAACAAAGCCAAACTCTCTCTACCTGGTTCTTGGCTATGGAAAGACCAAGAAATTAAACATAAGCTATAATATCGAGATACTGTACTTAACAAGAAATCTAGTATGGGTGACTGCTAGGTTAAACTGTGTGTTCACGAGCGAGTCTGAGGTGAGATAGGGCAAGACATTTTTTTCTTTTTCTTTTTACACCCAAATGGAGTATATGTACAGTATATAGTGATTAAAATTTTGCTGCTATCACCTCCCGTGAACAAAGCGTGCAGCTAAAAGAGGGAATGCAAGAAGTTATTTCCTCACACGAAGTAGTAAATTAAAATTTTGCTCAAGACAATAGGTCCAGCACGTTACAAGGGTCTCGTCATCTCGAGTCCTGACACATTCCCACCACGCACCAAGTCTTTTGTATCTGTCTACAAGCTGTGTAACATGTCTTCGCTGAGACCAAACTTGTCGTTTCTTAAAGCACCTTCTTCTCCTGTTTCAGATTTCAATAATGCATCAGCATATGGCACTGCTGTTCCAACTTTCAAAACAGCTTTTAGTGTGTGTCCCTATAAAAGATGCAACTAGTTGCTTCAACTGTTTTGCTGGTGGAAATACGTAATTTGCCTCAAACTAGACACCCTTAAGGTTTGTGGCTCTTCTGCAATGTTCTAGCCTCTCTCTCTCTCTCTCTCTTTTTAATAAAACCTGAATTTAGAAGGATGGTGTAGTAGTAAATGTGTTATGCATGTGATAGCAACTCTTCTACTCCTATTTTAATTAGCTCCAAATGAGATAGATAAGCAATGGATTACCTATCCCTTCAAGGACGCAAAGCATGCTAGAATTATCATGTCGGTGTTAAAATATTTTAGAGGATTTAATTAACAATTTGTATGTTTAGTACCTTAATTCTAACTCATCTAAATAATTATATTCAAGTAAGATAAAATAAGTAGTGTTTAGATCCTTGCATATCTTTCAATACACAAGTTGTTTTGCAGCATATTCAATGTTGCCCTACAATTAATCTGGCTTGTGTTAGCATAGGGGGAGGCGTACCTTTCTTTTTTTAATTAATAAAAAAAGAAAATAATGCTTAATGGGAAATATTCCCTCTTCAGTCTAAATCTAATCATGTTCTTTCACGGATTCTAATATATAATTTTTAAATAGTAATTTGTAAGTCTTAACAGTCCCTTTAAAAATAATGCATTACTAGATTATTGTCCGTGTAAAAGAAATCTTCCTGACATGTTTTTTAATATAAAAAAAAATTATATTGTTTAACATATTATACCAGTTGAATAAAGTAGGGTTAACATGTAAATTACATTATGAACC